TTTCTTGAGTACTCGGTGAAACCATATGTTGTTTCAATAAAGATTTCACCAGCTGTTCAGAATAGTATATTTCGTACCTAGGGCCGAAAATGAGGTTTTGCCGGCTCGAGATAGTTTTTAAGTTCGAGACGAAGTCGAGAACTTAAATCGATCGAGAGCCGCAAAACCATTTCGGTCCGTGGTACGAACGCTATTTTTCACCACACTATACCCTATTACCACTATTCACCACAATAATAATGCACACTGATAGTCAACACAACTACAACTTTAAGGTTATGTGAAGAAATAATTTGAGGAATCAGCAAAAATAAAAATATATAGTTGCTAGGCAACGGTGACAATAACACAATTCTATTGAAATGCTATGGATTTTGATTATGTATTTAAAATGCATTCATGTTTTAAGTAAGTAAGCGGACAGCTGATTTTGCGGCCCCGGCCTGTAAAAACCTGCTCGGTCCCCAAATTATGGACAGCTGGCATCGCCAGCAAAACCTAACTTTCGGCCACCAATTAACGTATGTAATACAGCCAAAAACATGATAGTGTGGTGAAAAAACTATTTCTGTTTGCCAAAAGAAAAGCAATTTGAGATCTTTTTGTAACTAGTTCCACAGCAGTAAAATGTGTAGGTAGTTTGAGGTTGGTTAGATTGACTATTGTATTGCCACCATAAAGTAGATGACCAATGACAAGGTCAGTAATCGCAAGAATTAAAACACCGCAGTCGTAGCTATTTTGTTGTTGGGGTGACTGCTTTACTACTAGTATATCAGCTTACTCTCCTGGAGTGTGATACAGAAAATTTTAAAACTTATTTGCAAGAGTCTGTGCAGATTTCAGATTATAATTCTTCATAGAGTCGTAGTCAAAAAACTTGGCATTATTTTTCCACATTTCAATGGTTCTGTTGTTTTATTGTTTGTTACGTCCATTGCATCTGGACTATCATTAACAGGAATGAATACTGTGAACTTGTTACTTACTTTATAATCAATCTGCAAAATTTAGCTTGAATGATGCCATTAATACCATGCTTTTGATTTACCATGTTGTTTACTAGCGAAGGATATGTTGGTTTTTTGTGGTTTATGAGTTTTGAGATTTTAATGCAACAGAAAACTGCAGTGAAAACAGTAGCCTAGCCAATATCCAAACAGAACGCTCCCGAATAGTCAAACCTTTGCTAACGTTCTTTGTTTTTTACGTGAAGTGGAAACTTTCCAATCAATAACCGTTTAGTAGGGACCATTGTGCAAGATGTAGGAGTTGATCTTTATCAACTCCTAACTCCTATTATCAATCGCTTGAGACCCAAGAAAAATGAGCAGTTTCTCGTGAGTTTGGGGTGTCCCAATCATACGTTAGTAGGCCTTACCATTTTTGTGTGTGCAGGGTCTAGAACCGAAGATCGTCCTCTATGAGTTAAATTTTACCATCAGATTCATCAGTTGGATCATCATGATTTCCTCAGCACTATTTTGGGGACAAATCAGTCTACATTTACCCAAAACGGACTTCACAAAAGCATTACCTATGTTTCTGATAATCTTCACCGTGTCTAGAGTTTTCCTATCAAGTAGGATTTAAAGTGAATTTTTGGATTGGACTCATTGGGAACAGACTTATTGGACCTTATCTTGACCTACAAATATCCTTAAAGAAATCCAGTACTTGGAATTTCTAACAGACGCGTTACCATTGCTCTTTGAAGGCTTGCCATTGGCAAGTCAGCTTGGCAGAGTTGCGTGAGCTTGGCGTCTTCAACGCACCCCCACACTATGTCGAGGTCCGAAATCAAATCAATGATACTTTAAACATGTAGATTGGAAGAGGGGGGTGAACAGTTCTTTTGCCCCAACAGAATACCAAACATTTTACTGACTTTCTTTAGAATACAATTGAAACAAAAGTTTTGATAAAAAAAAATTTTACATTTAAAGCTATTTTCAAACTATTGTATTAAGAGTTGTTACTTTGTGGTATTGTGTTTAATTTGTAGTAAATTAAACCCCCTTTCAAATGCTATCAGTTTTAATGTCTCTCATACGTGGGTTTAGTTTATAAACATAAAATTAACAGTCAAAGTTCATGTTATTTTCAGGGCCGTATTTAGCATTTTGGCGTCCCTAGGCCCAATAATTGGTCCGCCCACTAGTTTAGTTAACACGTTCGCTACTGCAATAGTTCAAAATTTTCCATTCACTTGGACCAGCGACGCACATATGCGACGGCCGGTTTCCACCCATAGACTGTCGTCACATATATGCGTCGGCTAGTCACATTAAAATAGACTGCCGCTGCATATTTGCGTCGGGTTCTAATGTTATTAAAATGCTTATATCTTTGTAGTGGTCTATTTGAAAGCACTGAATTCCCTGCAGTGGTCTACAGAGATGTCTGACGCACAACTGCGTCGCTTGGTCTGTGGATATGATGATTGGTGACGTCATATAATAGTGTGAAAAACTGGTCTTTACTTTTCTGCATCACTGTATGTATGTATGCAGTATGTATGCTGCATTATTCTATGCAGCTTTTATATTTGTTCAGTTATAAACCGTTCTTAAATACTCTTGTTTTTTTTTTTACTTACTTTCACCTCAAAATACAAAAAATGAACTGTCGCATATATGCGACGTTTAGTCTATTTCAAGAATACTATGATGATTTTCACTATTGTCACTTCGCTGTAGACCGGGCGTACAAAAGGTTATAAAAAATACAAAAAACAAGAATAAATTATTTACAAACATGATTGTAGCGTATTTCAATGTAAATGATCACTGTTTTACAGGTTTTCGCCCGTGGTCTGTGTGTACTGTTATCCAAGTGACAGCCAGTCTATATGTAAGATTCAAACGTATACCTCAGTCTGTGGCAATGACCGCGGCGTCGCATATATGTGACGCTCAGTAGCGAACGTGTTGAAGTTACTTTCCTACAAACCTTTATTAAAAATATCCCAGGCCTAGCCTACTGCTGAATACAATTTTATCATTGCAAGTTTTTTGAAGAATTTACTTGGTTCTGGCCTTAAAAAGCCGTCTTAAACACTTTTAGAAATGTTATGTAATAATGGGACTGAAACAAACTATCTAACTAACAGAGCACTCCTGCAACAAAGCATGGCTATTGCTGCTGCTGCAGTGGCTTCAAATTGCAGGCCCAAAAACATGAACTCCTTACAGTACTATTCAATTTATGTATCCACGTGATACCAGATTAAACATACTGCCTTAGTAGATTTGTCATCCTTTTGGATCAGCTGAGGAAAGACTCATTATTTTAATTATTTAAAACCTCTTTTAACCAAATAAAACCATCTAATCATTAACAATAGCTCAAAACCTGGTTCTACAGTATTACAAGAAATTAAAACACAAATCTTAAAATTAACCCTAAAATAAAATAAATTAATTTTGTCGTCACTAGTGCCAGTATCAAAAACATGAACTAGACATCAATAGCAATAGCAATCTTGTAATTTACAATGTGAGGAGAGGTCCTACATAAGTTGGTTGTCTATGGCGATAATTTAGTGGCATTTTATTTATTATTTAATTTCTATGGCGATTCTGCATCTATATAGATTATAATGATTATATTCGCAAACAAAAAAAACAAAGCAAAATCTTTTGACCAATTGTACCCATCCACAGGCCTGAGAAGAAAATGCAAGAATTTAAATGACACTTTGGAGAGTATTTAAATTAATATTTTTTTTTGTTAGTTAGATAAACTCATTGTTTTTTTTACATTCAACACAACGTACATTTTAACTTGATTCTGTAGGTTGTTGTAAGCTGATCAAAAGTTTGGTTATAATTTTCGTTTTACGAGGTGAGGGTGGTAAATAAGGTCTCAAAAATAACATTGGCACGAGCATGCACCCCTATTAAGCAGTCCGAGCAGTAGCGCCGAGCCAGCATGGTGGACGATGTGTAGGCCTATTGCTAGACACCATCCCTACAGCCATCTCCCGTGTTAAATAAGACCTCGAAGTTGATGCGTATTGTCGAAAAATATATTAACTTTACCTTTACCACAATAGTTTGTTCCAATGAACTTCAAAATCATAATGCTTTATTATCCAGGATTTTTGAAAATCAATTTGCAAAATACTTTAAGTTATGGCTTTTTATTTTTATTTCTAGAAATTGAAAAAAATCTTTCCTCTTCTGCCATGCGCCCTCTGGGAGCTTGCGCCTATAGGCCCCTAATGTGTACTTAAGTAAATTTGTTTACCAGCCTTACCTCAAAATTTACATTGACTGTTTTATTAACAGTCAATGTAAATTTTGAGGTAATAAAAAAACATGCTATTTTTTAAAAATAATTAAGGTACAGTAGAGAGTCAAAAATCCGAACCAATTGTGACCGTAGTTAGTTTAGATTACCGATTTGTTCGGATTTTCAAACATAGCCTTGAAATGCTAATAGACACATAATTAGGCCTACAGTATTAAAAATACAGTTCTAGGATACAGTACATGAAATAAAAATAATGATTTTTGTACTTGGGTATTTTCGTTACATAAATGTAATTTGTTTCTTTAAAAAAATATGTAGAGCTTATACATTGGAAACACACAAAACACAGACTGGCTCGGCGCTTTCACTCATTTCCCTGCCAGGAGCCGACTATTTGGCCCGCGAAATTGTAAAACACCTGTTGTCTCTGTGGTTATTCAATATTTTAAAACTCTCAGGAGCGGTTCGGATTTTTGACGTTCGGATTTTCATAACAACACTGTGTAGTAAACATTTTGATTTTAAATACTGTTATTTTAGGAGTATTAAATTAGGGTATAAGGGTTTTGTTAGGGTTTTATTAACCTTACATCAATCGAGACTAGTTTTATTACAGGTAATGGCCATTAATTACTAGTGTTGGATTAGTTAAGAACACAGCAACTAAGCTTTGTAGATTATTTGTTATGTCATAGGACATCTTTTAAAAGTTTCATAGTATAATTAGACCATGTTTGTTGTAGTCAGACAAAGTGCTGTATCTGGCAACTGAATATGTGGAGCCGCTGCAGCACCATTTAAATGCCCACGATGACCAGCAGCGAGAGTTGTATCTAGGATGGGGGATCTTTCAAATCACGGTACCTAATGTATTTGATTTATTATCACTTATAACACCCAAAACATGTAAGTTAGTTTATAGAAAAATTACAGATCTCTTGCTGGAGTTGCGCTTGGATAGTTCAAGACCTGTACGTGTTGCAGCGCTGGTGTCGACATGACCCGAAAATATGGCAGTGACCACCAGCAATATGGCGGGATCCGGTGATTCCTGTCTTTAGACAAAGCTGTTTCTGTCCGTAGTCACTGTCATAGGCCACGGAAAAGGCTAGCGCACGCTGCCTCGCGTAATGTCGGTAAAAACAGAGAATTGATATAACAAGTAGCTTTTTGTTTAATGTCCTTAATTTATTATTAAAGTAAATATGTGATTGCAATCCAATTAATAGTGATCATGACATTAATAATTTAATGATGGCTATTAAGTTGGTATTTATTTGGACTTCCACTTCTGTTACATACAGCATTTTCGTAAATTGGAACAATTTGCTGCCTATTGATCTAACACAATTAATAATTTTATCTTGATATTTTAACTTTATCTGCAGTCTATTAACTAAAAGTAGGTTTTCTAGATGTTTTCTTTCATTGGACAGTTAATCTAACCACAAGAATTGTTGTTTACAAGCTCGTTTGTAGCCAATTTTCCATATAAGTTAATAATAATAATAATAATTGATCTTGGTGTCGTTTGATAGGGAATTAGAAATGCTAAATAGGAAGTGTTCCTGACACATATTAATAAAATTATTCATTTTTGAGTAATTTAAGTTATACAAATTAAAACGACTTCTATTTTGAAATTTCTTATCTGACAAACTTGATTAGCGAATTTCCCTATAGGGAAGTAGCTATTAGCGTAGGTGGCACGGTAAGACCTAGACCCGGGAACGATATACTGAACTATTTAATTTTGATGCCCCTAGAAGCTAAAAACACTATTTGTTCAAATTTTTATTTTTATATATGTATATACTACCAGAGTACTCGTCCTTCGTGGCGTATAAGTATGAAATGCTTATTGCAGTTATACTCGTGCTTTGCGTTTGCTCTTTAATATTTATTTAAGTGCTGATGACCAGGTATGCCAGCCGCAACAGACGGTTTTAATGATCATTGTTGTATGTAGTGCTGAGAATATCTTTGTACTCACTTATTTTGTAAATAAAAGCACTATTTCATTCATTCATACTCGTGCTTTGCGTTTGAGAACATTTGGTTCTTAAATTTTCAGTATGCAATAGTACAACACATCTACCATAGCCATGATGTTCTACCACTGCACGTAAACAATATAAAAAAGTAAATTATCAAACATTCGCACAATGTCACATATTATTAATTTATTAAATTAAAGACATAAAAATAACTGTAAACAATACTACAAGTCTTCGCCCGAATGGTTGTCTTTTAAAATACCCCCGCCGCAGCAAACCTGTCGACTAAGCGAATTTCCATTTGTCTGAATTGATTTTCAATTAAATATATTTTAATAACATTAGGTTTAACGAGTACCTAGGTTTGCTGCTACAAGGAAACTAATAAAGTGTGTTTTTTAGTAAAATATTGATAGCTTAGTACAAAATAAATAAATTTGCCAAGTTTGATCAAAATATATCCATAAACAAGCAAACTACAACATTTGATAATATTCTCCATAAGAATAACATGGGAATTTTAAATTTACAATTTTTTAAATTTTCTCCGTTACTAATAACCGAACAAAAATACTTTTATATACTAAATTTTTTTTTTTTTAAGCTCTTTAAAAGGGTCTAAAGAGAAATTGGGAAATTTTGTTATTTGAGGGTCAAAAGTGAGAAAAACCAATTTTTACCCCATAAAACCCTCCGTAAAGCCCCGTTCCCATGGTCCAACCATGCTGGTTTGCGAACTCATTCAAGTTTTTCCCGCTTTACACCTTTAAACCAAATTTCATCAAAATCGGACAAAAATTACTCAAGTTATCGCGTTCACGACACCGCTGAACCGATTGCCACGAAACTTGGTACATAAGTGTAGAATTTCATGGAATAGGTTTATACACCATCAATTTCGTGATCTGTCCAATCGGCTCCGCCCCAGTGGCTCTGGAGTTTCCCATGTTAACCTTATGAGAAATGGAATTTATGAATCTTAACAGCTGTTTCAATTAAACAAGTTGGTTTTGTTCTATGATGTTCAATAGCATTAAAGTTACAAGGATGACCAACAGGGTGCAGCACTATTATTTCTTTTACATTTATGACAACAGCTAATTTGCAACCAAAAGGTGAGTGAGCGTAGCGAACGAACTTCAACCTGGAGGCGAGTTAGCGTAGCGAACAAGCTAACCTGAAGGCAAGTGAGCATAGCGAACGAGCTAACCTGAAGGCAAGTGAGCGCAGCGAACGAGCTCCAATCCAAAGGTGAGTGAGCGTAGCGAACGAGCTCCAACCTAAAGGTGAGTGAGCGTAGCGAACGAACTTCAACCAGGACGTGATTGAGCCATGCGAACGAGATCATCTTGAAAATTAAGAAGTTAAACGGGGCAAAGCCCGCGGGTTACAGCTAGTATATATATATTAATCTATGTATATATATATATACATGTATAAAAATTTGGTGTTTTAAAAACGAATGGTGTTTTTGGCCTCTGGGGACATCAAAATGAAAAAGTAAATCGGTCCCGGGTCTAGGTCTTACCATGCCACCTACGGTAATAGCTACTTCCCTATAGGGAAATTCGCTAAAACTCAGTGATAGCGGTTGTTTGGCAGGAAGCCGGGTCCAGGTTCGTCCAGGCTGATCGCGAAATTATCGTTGCGTACCGCTGTGTGTGTGTGTGCGTAGCTGCTAACATTAGTGTGAAGGTCTGTTGCCATGCCAACTGCCACAATGATGTAGTTCAAACATGAACCAGTAGAGAGCGGTCCAGATCAGCGGCAATGTTAACCCTAGCAGTGGCCAACCATCGTCTGGTGACGGTATGACGTTGATGCTTAGAATGGCCAATGTCGTCTGGTGACGGTATGGGCCGAAATTTTTTTAACGGTAAAAAAAACACTTACAATCAACTCAGATGAGAATAATATATATACCATTCGAAAGATCACATTCTGAACTTTCATTTGATTACATAAAACAAACCCTGTAGCAGGTATATAACAATGTCACGACGATTAGAAATCAAATGAAATTTTGGCGCGGTACGACTTTTGCAGCCGACACTTGGGAACTGGCAAAACATGTCTTGTTTGGCATTACCCTGCTCGGGTAATTTTTGTCTTGGGATGTTGCGGGTGGTACCACTGGATAGCCATTGATTTTATCTTCATTGTGGTAGTGATATTTATAACTAAATATTGATTGCACAATCGGTACGATTTTATGAAAACAGCTGTTTTCGAAATTTCTAACAAATGGCCAACAGTCGTCTGGTGACAGTATGGAAAATACGAATTATATAGGTACAGTGAAAGTTATTATTACTAGTCATATAGTATATCATTTTGAAGAGGAAGAAATTTAGATTCAGAGAGTGGCAGCCCTGCACTCAGGGTTATTTCTGTATGCTCGCATGTAGACGATGGTAGTGAGTCATTACTGCTACAGTCTGTCAGCTGTCTTGTATTGCCATTGTTTGTTTGTGTTGTTGCCGGTAATAGTTTTATCCGTGATTTATTACTAAATATGTTATTAGTTCGTAGTGTTAGTGTTAGTGAAGTGTTGTGTGTGTGTATAACAGTAATCTTCATGCATAAATATTACTGAATTGTGTGAAATAGTGTTCATAAAAGGTTGTATTTTGTTAGCATCATGTCCTAAAATGACGATTCTGACATTCAGAGATTGTTGTACCTATATAATGATATACCCAAGGTGTTATACATTTTTATAAAGGTAAATGAATACACTAACTTACAACATGTTTATAATGGTTTGGGGGTAAAAAATTTTGTAAAAAAGTTATAGCCTATACTAAATAGGCCTACTACTGTATTTTGTTAGCATCATGTCCTAAAATGACGTTTCTGACATTCAGAGATTGTTGTACCTATATAATGATATACCCAAGGTGTTATACATTTTTATAAAGGTAAATAAATACACTACAACATGTTTATATTGGTTTGGGTGTAAAAAATTTGGTAAAAAAATTATATAGGCTAGGCTACTAAATACTGTACACTCCATTTTCTCGAAATACGCAAAAAATTCAAAACGTTCTCAAATTGATACATAGCCTAATCATAGGTGAAAATAACTTTTTACCATCATACTTATGACTTTTTTGGATTCCTTATTTCATTAGCTTTACAAATATGTAGGCTACATATCATCAGCCTACATTATGTTTCACAACACAAGCAAACACTGTAGGCTATAGTTTACACTTATTTGCGGTTTTGCGGTTATTGTATTATTATGTCCCTATTACGTACCTACAAAAAAAATATTTCTAACATGTTATACATTTTTATGTAGGTAATTGAATACACTACAAGATTATTATGTTGGTTTGAAGTAAAAAAATTTGGTACAAAAGTTGTATACTAAGTACTGTGAATTTTTTTTCTCGAGAAATCGCTAAAATATAAAAACATTATTTTATATACGTATGTTTATAGGTAAAAAGTTATTTTTACCATAAACTTTATGACTTTTTTTGATTCCTTACTTCATTAGGATGATTGTTTACTTCCTTATTTCATTACTTTACAAACATGTATATATCATTATTAGTATACACATATATTATAGAACTTTTTACAACATAAACTAACACTGTACGGTTTTCAATTTTTTCGGTTCTCCGTTTGTCATTATATTTCGCCCCAAAAACTTATAAAAAAAAAATATTTTCCTAACATGTTATATATTTCTATGTAGGGAATTAGATTGTCTACAAAATGTATATAATGAATTTCCCATAAAAAAATCCGTAGAAAAAAAATACCGAGGCCGCTTTTGAAATTTCAAAAAAAAATTCAATTTTTTTATTTTTTTTCACTTTACCGTTAAAATACACTATCTAAATCATTATGATATTACTATTTCTAGATTCTCCTGTTCTTTCCGAACAAAATGAATATGAGGTTGGCTAGGTTTACTTGTACGGTTGAATTTTTACGAATTTTCAAAAAAAGGTCTGCAAAATCGCCAAAATGGGTTGGCCATTCCCCACTTCTAACATTGGCCACTCCTAGGGTTAAAAATTATTATCCAACGGTCGTTTCAGTTAGCGGTCTGTGGTGGTCTATTGTCTGTGCTATAACATAAAAAGATTACTCAGGGTTGGTACGGTTAAGGAAAACCTAGAAAAGTCAGGGAATTTTTTTGGTCAGGAAAAAGTCAGGGAATTATGACAAAATTCTGGAATTTCTCCTGAAAGACTACTTTTTTACAGATATGCTATAGTTTGCCCTAAAAATGTTTTTGTCAGGGTGATGACTAATGGCAAAAAGAACGATTTAAGCATTGATGCACATTTTTATATCGATAGTTAAGTAGTTATCGATACGGGGGAGGAATTGATATGTATATAGTTTGAAACAAGTTTTGTATTTGGGATTGATTAAATAAGTTTAATATTTACATTTTTTCTAACATTTCTTGATTTTGATTCATCGATATCTACTTATGGTATAACTGGAAATAGTATAATATCAGTCCGGAAAACGTGTAAAAGTTAGGGAATTTTACTTTCTAAATTTAGCATCAACCCTATTACTCACTGAAAATATGACTGAAGCTGGAAAAAACAATTAAATATCTCAGGGCTGCTTAAATAACTCCATCCTGTCAACTACAGTACAACCTTGCTGATCCGTCACCAAAGACACCAAGGACATGGTTGGAATGAAAAAAAGTGTAGATTAGTAATTTAAAATGTTTCTCCACACTAAAGTGTGGAATTTGAAAATAGAAATAAACTAGACACCCTGAGATTAAAGAGGAGTTCATTTATTTACGATGGCACTTCATAAAATATTTTAACAAACAGATTTTAAGCGCAACATATCTAAACTATTGTAAATGATAGTCAACAAAGCATGTCGTTGAACTAAGCCAGGAGTCTAAATCATCCAAGGTTGGATTACAGGTTGTACTGTAGCCTACAATCGTAACACCAATTTTGTGCAAGCCTAAAACCTCCTTTCGGTTTCACTCTGTTTAACACTGTTCTATTATAAAACAAATTTTAATGAATAGTTGTTATCATAGAGGGCCCTGAGTTTCCTGAACAACGATGGGAATCTCCGTCATAACAATGTTAACATCTGGGCAGTATTTGTCAACAATGCGGGAGAGTGGAAGCTGGGTGGATTTGAGTACTTAAGTTCTGACCTTGAACTCCCAGTGAAAGTTTTACCAAGTCTAGAGAAATATGATCCTCCTGAAAAAACTGACTTAGGAAAACAAAAGCTTATTACCAAGTGGTAAGTATTAAACAATTTTTATCATTATTGAACTAAAGCATGAACAACTGAATTGTTTGGTTTGAAAGATAGTTTGATTATCAATAAATAGTTAGTAATTCTTAGACGAATTACAACTCCCAAAACTAAACTTTGGCTCGGTAGCCTGTACGTCTGATTCTCAACTTAAGCATTTATATTACAAATGTAATCTTATATTATATACTGTAAAATTGTGAAAAGGCTTTTGAAAAAATGAAACAAATGTTTTTGCATAAATACAAATATATTATTACCAGTACCTCTTTTTATTTTTTAGTTCAACTGATATGTGGGGGCTTGGTTGCCTAATATGGGAAATTTACAATGGACCACTGCCAAAAAAAACATCTTTGAAAACAATAGAGAAAGTAAGTACGTAAGGTTGTAATTATTTAATTTGTTTAGGTTTCTCTCTACACTTGTGCTAATAAAGTAAACAACTTTCACAAGCTAACCTGAATTTTGTTGCTGTGAAATATATATTAAATATCAATAAAGTAGGTGTTCTTATTCAGTAAAAAATACATTTTTTTTATATTCATTAACTCACCAGAAAGTGAGTTCATCAAATTAACGGACTCCAGTCACCCATAATCACCAAGGAAATGACTGCCATGTGGGATGCCAGTGTCCGACGAGCACTGAAGAAGTTGTTAACTAATTATAAGCAAGTTTAACTAAAAGCGACACTAGCGCTCGCAGGTTAGATTTGTCGGACAACTTAAGCATCAGTGAGTTAGCAGTATAGTACCGCAAAATGTCATGACAAGCTACACCATAGCCACCTCTAATACACAAGGCCGCGACGTTCGAATTGGCAACGTCGCAATCACCCGCTGCCTGGGTCCGACACACACGCTAGACTATGGGAGTATTACCATTGTATTTCTGTTTTCCCTGCTCTGTATCAATGAATGAAAGTATGTTAATGACATATACTAGTAAATTTTAGAGTATGGTAAAATAGACAATTAGAATCAAGGTGCTTATTTATTTAGTCAAAAAATAGGCTACAACATCGCACATTATGTCTTCAACTAAAAATACAAACATAATGTTTTATATGGTTGTGTTTATCGAATTGTAAGTACAATGAACGTGGAAAAGTCTGGACTTTGCATATTTTCTTTGTCAATTTGATAATTTTAAATTAAACTCCAACTGCAAATGGATTTTTAGAGACTAACATCTAACTATTTATTTAAATAAAATGATTTTCAATTTGAAACACAGTATAAATATTCAGTTTTAGCCTACTTGAGGATTGTGGAACCATAAGTCTAGTCTACAACAAAATTTGAAATTTAATTTTCTTGTTTGAAGGCATACTGGCTGATCAATTTATTTTATTTGAATAACTATTAAGCAAAACAATCAGTTAACTATTAAACATTGTATTGTACTAGTCATAAGTCATGTTCATACGTTTACGAATATCAAAATGGAGCTGTCCGTTTTAGTATAAAATAATAAAAAAATAAATAAAATAAAACATTTGTTATTTTGTAAACAATTTCAGAAGCTAGGCTAGGCATTATGGCTTTCCACAATATTCATTGAATTTTTTAACCAAATCAACATTCAGACGAGTCAGACTATGATGCTTTCATGGTCTAGTACATATTTTTGACTATTACTTAAAAGAAACACTGGTTTATTTCTTTGAAGTACTAGTTATTTAAGTTATTTTGTTCAGCAGCAATAAAACTAAGATACGAAGGTAAATTAGGATATAGTCTAGGTACGGTATTATCACCTAAAACTCGCTTCTCGTGTCTATATTTACACCAATCATTGTCTTTTATCTTATATTGTTATACAAAAATAAGGTAATCTTCATGAAAATGTTTTACTCAAACACGAGAACTGTTTGAAGGTGTCCAATCTGACAGAGGAATAGCATGAAGCCATTGTTGCTTACGCGGCGGATCACTTGGAATCTTAAAACACTGTATGTATCCTTCAGTTTTAATTGAGCTTTCGTAATAACTCTTGCACCCAGGCATAACACATCTATCTGCCATGTCGTAGTAGCAAGTTCAATGCCATAACTAAGTATTTAAGGTAGTAGAAGCGCGATTAAGGCTGAGCGTCTGCCGCTGTAGCAAACTAAATCTGCTAGGCAGCGTGGTGGTCGCCGTTGCGAGCTTGCTGCATACTTGTATGTATCTTCCTTCTCTCTCGCACTCTGACTTACCGACCATGCCATTTTGGCAAATATGAGAAAATGAAAAAAAGTGTAATCATCTTTATAGTCCAAGCAAACTAAACAAAACAGACACAGTTTTTACAGAAATTGGACACAGTTTTTATAATTTTTTTAAAGAAAACGTTTTATGGCTATACTAGCAACAGTGCCCGTGTGGTTAAATACAATGGTCTCTAGTAAAATAATGGTTATGAAATCCATACACCACTTTACTCACTAATATTAATGGTAGAGATTAAGCACATAACATTAGATAATTATATTATGCATACTGGTAAACCAATTATTGCCATCTATAAAAATTATTGGTTTTTCTTTTCCCAAGTCGGGTTAGCTCTTTTACCCAACCGATTTTCATGGTTTTGGCCTTAAACTAAAGGTATGGACGTACCACAGATTTGCCATAAAGCATCGGCATTCATTTTGACGTATATTTTGAAAGAATTTAAATTTTATTATTTTTGTTTTTCACTTCAATTAAAGTTGTATTCCAGCAGTTCTATATGTTACCCCTATATGTTTTGGTCTAAAAACCTTTAGTAAATTACCAGCTTTCATTTGAGCAATTGATTTTTAAGATCGGACTACCTAAAACACACTGCTGAATCACAAATCAACAATAATTACAATTGTTTTAGTACTTATCTGCAATCAATGATACGTAACTCTATTTTTATTTAAGTTATTTTAATATGTCTTGGTCTTAAAATACTTCATAGGCTTTCACTTGAGATATTGATAGTTTTAAACAGTTAAGTTTAAGATACTGTATCGCTCAATCAGAAAATATAAATTTGATTATATATTGGATATGGAATTTAGTTTTAGATATATTTACTTAATTCTAATTACGTTATTCTATTTGTTTTGACCTAAGAACCTTCTGTGAAATACCAGCATCCATTTGATTTATAGATTATTAAAATCGGACGTACCTAAAGCACACAGCTAAATGACGTACAACACAAATTGTTCAAAAAATGTAGTTATTTATCATTGATTTATAGTCAAACGATCTTGCTTGCAACCTCAACAGTAACTGTCAACTATGACGGGTTTAATTAACCTAGTAAATCTTTTAAATAATCAAACTTTTATGATTATTTGCAAATTTACACAAATTATGCTTTCCTATTATGTAATAAAATCGGTTCAGTAGAACTGTAGATTTAATTGTACAAAGTTTAACAACAACATCTCTAATTCAGTATTTTCTCACCACTATAAATTGGGAGCAGGCCCACTTTTATAAACGGGCAGACTGGGCATATGCCCAGGGGCGCCGGTGGTTGGGGGGCGCCCGGGGCGCCCTGAACCATCGCCCGCACTAGGAAAAATAGGGTTTTATCAGCCGGGATTTAAAAATATGCTAAAATGGGTGATTTCAACTTGTAGTTAAGTGATTTTCCCTTATTGCAAAAGTTAATAAATACAACAAAATTGAAAATACTTGACCTTCAGATTATACCTTGTGTAGTCAGGGAAAGGCAGGCAGCAGTGTGAACCGGGCGCACTCACTATACTATCAGAGGCAGGGAGGCCTGCATGGTGGAAGGAAAATACATAGGTGTGCTATTCCCATCATATGCTGACGTCACTCAGATTGCAAACACCATTTTACCATTGAGAAAAATTATAAAAACACTAACAATCAAATCAAAACAAACATATACTTATATGGCAATACATCAGTTGATTTTTTGTTTGTAATTTGGGAGACTTCAGCAAATTATGGGAATAGCATGTTGGCCAGCTGTAGTCTACAGGCCTACGGTTCACGTGCCCCTCCTCTCCATCCCAGTCCCACCCCCATCCCCACAAGTCACAACTCTACCAACTACCGCGCGGCGCCAGTCCAGTTCCAGTACAGTACTTCTCCCTCAGTTGTAGTCAGTAGGTTGTGTTCGTGTTGTGCCTGCTGCCACAGAAAACGTACTACTATAACCCAGAATGCCAACCGCATGGTAAAAAGCATTAAGCGTTTTGAGAGAGCTTTGTCTGTCAATCCGTAGGCAGCGCCACCAGCGTTGCTATGCTATTGCATGCAATAGCATAGCAACGCTGGTGGCGCTGCCTACGGATTGACAGGCAAAGCTCGCTCATAGTACGTTTTCTGTGCTGCTGCACAGTCGCCAAATCAGTTAGGCTACAACACAACCTAAACTGTGACAGTCACTAGTCAGTGTTGACAGTCACACTACAGTTAGTGAACCAGTAATAAATATATAGAGAAGTGTTAATAAAGTAAGTAGGCCTATAATCATTGAAAAATGCATAAAAAACCTAGTGGAGCCGAGAGCCGCAAGCGGTTGGCTCAAAGAAAACAAACTCAAGAAGCAGTTTTAAAGAACGTGAAATGTATTACCCATTATTTCCATTGATACGGAATTGAAAACTCCCTCTCGAAACAAAACTGGTAAAAAAAAACACACCAATGTATAAATATATACATGCATAGGCCTACAGTAGAACCCTGGAAAAAACATACTCCAGTAGAATCTCGTTCAATACGTGTGTAATGCAATGAACTGTACTGTACTGAACAGTAATCAAATCACTGCTTAGTGCATTAAGCTATTGGCGCAGGGCAAGAGGCATTCGCATAGCAACTACTGTCAAGTTCATTGCACTCACCCCAACCCCCAACCCACCTACAGTGAATTTCGGCGAACTGATGAGTCAACCCCCCTTCCCTCTTCCCTTCTCTACACTGCTGTGGTCAAAACCTTTATAGTTATATATATATATATAAGGGGGGGCGCTGCTTTTGGGTTTGCCCAGGGCGCCACTGACCCTTAACGCGGCCCTCATTGGGAGGTTGCTTAACGTTTTTGCAAATAACTTTGAAACGGTGAGGAAATCGACCAAAGTGGAAGGTGATATTCTGAAAGAGAATAAAATTTCCTACAAATTAATATTATTTGTTTTTTGAAAATACTCAATAAAGGCAGCCTAAAGTTGGCTACAAATATAAACTTGGAAATATAAACTTGGAAAAAAATGAGTTTTAAATGTATTATTGTTTATTTTTATTTTTTCGCCTCAAATATCTAATAAAATCAAACTTTCATAATTATTTGCAAATCTACACAAATTAAGCTTTCCAACGACCCATTGAGTAACAAAATCGGTCCGGTAGAAGTCTAGATTTAGTTGTGT